TTATTTTCAACTATTGATAACTTTCATATCAAATGTTACAAGTTCCAAAGTATCAAAACATTTTTAATTCTGGTTAAAAATTTAATAATTTGATTTGCTGTGTTTACAATTATGTTGTTATGTGTTCATGGGAAATTTATTTAATGGTGTCTAAAAATGTTGCATGGATTCATAATCTGATTCGTACTATTGAAACTACCGGAACTTGACTCATCTCTATTATTAGGTTTTGATGAAATATTGCGTGTGATCTACTTTGTATTCTTTGAAGTACCGGAACCAGCTTCATTTCCAATATTAGATATTTTACATTTTACCCTTTATTTTATTTTACACATGTAGATTAATTAAATTATTAATTTCTACTGTTTTGTGTGCGACTGTAGCCGGACGTGTGGGATACGACACCAGTGAAATAAAAAATCCAAACGATCAACCCAGCAACGGCAATTTATACCCCAATTTACCTCGTGGTGAAACTACGGAACGTCCAAATGTTGGTTACCAAGGAGCCGCAGGTCCAGGTTACCAAGGAGGTCAAATAGGTTCGGGTTACCCCGGTCAAGCCAAACCTAACTATCCCCAACAATATCCACAAAGTCCGTATCCACAACAAGGTTACAACGGATACAACGGCTACAACAACGGTTATAACAATCAACAAGGAGGTTACCGGGGCTATCCCCAACAAAACGGATACCCCAACAACTACAACTACAACAACCAAAGATATCCCAACAATTACCAAGGAGGATATAACCCATATCCCCAAAACAGCCAGAGTAGTGCTTCCGGTGGTATTGTTGACAGCTTGACCAACGCTTTGAAGAAATATGGTACGAATATTCTGAAAAACGCTATAGCTAATCAAATTGCCGGTGGTAATCGTAATTAATTAATTATTTATGTTGCAGGGCTATTCTATATGATTGTTGCGTGTTATTATCAGAGGATGTGGAGATTTTAGAGCTCAAAGTATACAGTAACCTTAATTTTTTAATTTGTGTTTTATTTTGTTTTGTAATAAAGCTTTAAAATCTTGAACTAGATTTTGATTGGTGAGTATGAAGAACCGCTTACGGTGGTGGTCTTCTGTGTTTTTGGTATAACTATCAATAACTAACTGCACTTTCTTGTAGAATAGCCTTAACACGTTTTGTTGACTCTCATCACCTTTGCTGTCTTTTCTTTTTTGTGTAACATACTTTTACAGTTGTGTTAACCGCGTTAATTATTTATATGTTTATAATCTGCTTCGGCAAGATCGTGCCAACATATTTTTCTTAGTTGCTGCCTGAATGTACGTAGTTTTTTGTATTTATTTAGTTGTGGTAATAAATTAAAGAACTCCTCTGTAGGAGTTTCATTCCCTTGGAATAAATTACTCACGCACTCACCTCTATTAGATTTCTTTTAATTAAAACCAAGTGTTTTGTCTGCTTTGCTTTGTTAACAGTGTAATTAAAATAATTAGATGCAACTGTGGTGAAGTTTTCCCCTAGGACGAAATTACAACTTTGGAGTTGTGCACAGGCCGGACGGCAGGAGCTTAAAAGGAAGCGTTTCAAATTGAGTAATATTTATGAGGGTTTATTACAAGTTTACAAGACGGCAATGATCCAAAATGAAATTCTTTTATTGAAGCGCTGCCACCAAGAGTTGCCCCGCCTTTGCTCCTTCGTAATTCTGACTTACACGCGAAAATTACTTTTTCTTCCTAACGAACTAAGTTCGGGACGTGGCAGGCGTTTTAATCAACATGAGAGATTTGGCTGTGAACTGACCTTTATTTAGGTACGGATGGTAATATGAGGCCAATTAACAAAGCCATTGTTAAGGATTCGGTGTGGGGTAAGAGAGGGTGAAAAATGGGTCACCGGTTTTGGTTTAATGTGGGCGCTGCGTAAAAAGGGAGATATCTACCATACTATTTTAATGCATCTCGAGGGGCCACCGTAAATTCTAGCGAAGAAATTTAGCGAGGTGGGCCAGCCGAAAATTTGGCCGGAATTTCCGAAACGTCTCGAGGGACTGCCTGATATAATTCCCAATTTCCTTACACTCATAAATAAGGCAGATATCGTCCTTCGAAATTTTTTATGTGAAATTTTACAGTTAATTTTCTTGGTTATTTACTAAACGAAGATACCGAAAACGGCATAATATAACGATTTGCGAGTCCATTATTTTGAACGCTTTGTCCTAAGCAGCGGTAAGTACGTTAATATTTTAAACAGTGCAGGTGTAGTAGAGAAGGTAATTGTATTTTCTTTCTTTTTTAAGTTATTTCGCATTCGTGTATGTGGTATTTAATTCAGGGACATTAAGCATAATTTTAATAAGAGTAACTAATTTAAACTAGCTTTCAGTTCACAACAGATTTTTATAAAAGAATACAAGATAACACTAAGGTGGCAGACATGGTGGATTCTACGTCTCTATTAAGACTGTACAAAGTTATTTGATCTGAAAATAGCGTCAAATGTAAACTACGTGTAATAAATATAATTTTTTGTATTGTGTTACTAGTTTATTTCTCTGTATGTTTTGTATACCCGCTTCATAAATTAAGCATAATTGAATATCTACTGACACTGATAACTTTTCACATGCAACTATTTCAGTAGCAAGATGCATACAGGATTTTCACACTTGTTTCACACGTAAAAGTTTTTTATCGTTTTATCATGTACACAGTATTCCTAAAATATGTATAAAATTTGACAACAATCAGTCCAGTAGTTTCAGAGATTATCTGCCTAATAAATATCGACAGTGAACGACAGACGACAGGCGTAGGGATCATGGAATGTGGTTGGGCCCTATTTCAATACTCCCTTAGCTTAAGCTCAAGACGTACAAATTCTGTAATTTATGTATACTTCATGTGCACCCGTATTAAACATTTTCTAATGCATCCTAGCTTATTTTCTGTTTTTCTCAACCCTAGTCATTAACCGTCTCTACAAATGGCACAAACTAGTTTATTTAATTAACGTGGAAGTTAGCGTACATTAATATTCTATGTGTGTGAATATGGAAATATCCTTGTTTACTTTTACGTACCGGTTTAATTAAATTAAAAAGATGTATGACTACAATGCCCTGTATTAAATATTTCAATCATCTATTAATTATGTCACTTATGTAACACAAAATTACGGTAATATTTTATCGACGTTTTTCGGAAACGTGACGGCGTAATTACTATGTAGTTAGAGAGCTTTTAGGCTTTAAGTGACTAACTTATTAAGCTTAAAGACAAACTTTCTCCGCTCTAAATTTAGCACCTTCACAGAATGAGATTACATGTGGAAATTTGAGAGATAAAGTAAAATTTGAATTATATCTGGTTGTGGGTTACATTTGGGTTATTTTACACCTCTTTAAAGCCCCCATTTTTGTGGAAGTTGAGGCGATCGCGCGTAGCGTTAATGGAAAGATTACGTATGCGACGATTTTTTAGTAATCGATCACTCCGATTACTACACTGGACAGTAGTGATGTTTGGCATTTAATGAAAATTGGATGAAACATAATTCCCCTGACATTTTAATCCATTAAGCAGATCTCTGTTACTCTGTCAGTTATTTAGAGGATATTGGAGTAAAACGTTCCCCTGCCTTTAGATAAATATTTAATTCAACATCATTACATTGGTTACTTTTCTAGCTAATTTATAATTTACAACGTTTTGACGTTGCATCACATATTTTAATTCATTTAGCCTACAATGAAAGCATGACTTGAAAATTTAGAAATCATATTCAAGCCAGCAAAAATGTATAGAAACTTTTAATTGTATTAATCGTAATTTATAGTAATAAATACATTTTTTATTATTTACGGTTTTAAAATTTCACCAGCAAATGTTAACAATACAAAAAGGGTAAACAAAATTTAGTTACGCCACACTCCAAGACGAAGAAGAAACAAAGAATTTAGTGATACTAAGTATCAAGCTTACATAGAATGAATCCTCAACATTACATAAACAAGTAAACACACCAAATACATATTAAATGCGATCGAAACCTTAATAAGATGATTTTAGTACACATATCGTTGTGAGAGGAGTGTTCAGGAATAAATGTTCAACATTCAAGCCGTAGAACACAAAAATAATCACACAACAGGGGCAATTCTGAATCAAACCTGTTAACATTTAAAGGTTGTTAAAAAGTAGACAACCTGTTAGATTTACGAATATAACTCGTTACTATAGAAATTTGCAATTGAACACCCTTAAAATTTAACAAGTTTTTACAGAATTGAATGTTTCAATTAAATTTTGAATACTAACAATGTACCATTTTTTAATCTCATATAAAAAGTTTTGAAATATAAATAACAACTTAGGGAAAATCATCCAGACCTTGAGCAATTTCGCGACTAAAATAATCAAGTTGGAGCAAGTGAATATTCACCACGTATTTTCAATTAACATTTACATCATCACTACACACTTATGTATCTATATCAACAAAAATAAGTATCTTTTTTACCCTTCATGTTTAACTAACATTTCAGTACGAACTTATGTTTGATTCGCGTCCTTCGGAGGATCCGCCTGAAAGCAGAAATCTTCGCCCCTCTTCTTGACCAACCATATTTACACTCGGCAACAGAATAAACCCCCACAAAAATTCGGTTTCCCGGCCCACCGCGATTTCGGTCACTTAATATTAATTACGTCACAGTGGCACAGCCAACTTCTCGTCGGGCACGTAAGTGCCATTTGTCGACGACGCGTCCGGAGAGGTGCAGCGGTGAGATCTCATTTGGAGTGGGCGTGATTTATGCCGCCGTTGGCGTTCAGTTGTTTTTCCCCGGCTTATATGATTTCCACGGGGACGGTCGTCCTTCAGCTGTGTTATTACTTACACAATAAAACGATTCAGAGTTTGGCGAGAATTTTCATTATACCGCTAATAGATGGCGCGGTTGGTTTAGGTCCTTCGCTTTGTGTTTTACGGGGTTTCATAGTGTGGCGTGTGGACTGACGAGAGCGAGCACATACGTGCCAAATTGCGTTTTGTGGAATGCAAAAGGGTGGTTGTAGAAAAAGTAGTGTGGATGTGTATGACAAGTGACGAAAGAGTAGGTAGGTGTACTAACGACTACTTTTTTTTTTCTCTGCCATTACCTATTAATAATCTGGACTGGAATCTAGGTCAGAACTAACCTACATTTCTTAGTGGATGTTTATTAGTTTCACCAATGTTTCGTTTCCTTTTTCGACATTAATCTTTAGGATATCTGCAATTAAAGGCCAATATTCACAACAAAGAGAATATACCAGAAAAGTTGATACCAGAACTGCTCGATAAGAAACTGACTTTGAAAACCGAGAATATTAGAAAGAGAAAAACCATGTGAGCCTTGGGTTGCTAACATTAAGGCCGCGAGTTTACGTTGACGATTATTGTTCTGAAAATTTGCCTTAAAACTTACCGCCACTCTTGCAAGTGATGTACAAGTAAATAAGTCGAGAAGTACCTAAATCACGCCTGTGGTATTTGTATTTTTATTACGAAAAACCCAAGTGACAATATTTGTGCATACTGCGCTCTGTGAATTTACTCGCAAGGGTCCAAGCCCTGGACATAGTAGGCAGAACTTCCCTCGATCCTGAAGTACAATCAAACAAATCCAGTGTTGTAGGAAAAAAATACATTATAAGGAAATCGAAATCGCAACGGTATCGTATTCTAACCAATTGAGCTAACACGTTGCTCACATTTTAGTTCAAAAGGATTTGGATTGTTTTGAGAAAATTTGGAAAGTACAGGAATACGTTTTTTTTTATTTAAATAGCATTTGTTATGCAAAATTTTGAGGTGATGTCACCATATTGTTGGTGAGGACTATTAAACAAATTTTGGTTATCATTTTACCATATATACGATACATATGGCTAAAATACGGCGCTAGTTCCAAGAATTATCCATCTAAGAAAAAACTGCACTGACGAAAATTGGAGACTCAATTTTTTATACTCTTGAGATCATGAAACGTCGAGAAAAGATGAAAGTTGCCATTCGCCGAGTGGATCCTATTACAATACTTCCTTAGCTTACACCCGAAACTAAAAAAGTTTATCAATATAATTTGATTTAGGTCATGTCTTCTATAATGTAATAAAAACAAATTGATGGACCTTCGTCCAAATTAATGGAAAAGAGAAATTAAACATCAAACAATTAAAATGAACGTGCAACCTCTCAATCAGATTGTCATTCCTTCAGTCATATTCATGATTTAAAATGAGACATGCCCACAAAAATTTGAATACCCTCAAAAAAATTAAAATTGTCAATGAATTGTGATCTTTAACAAAATGTTTCGTTCTATTATACAATTTTGCGCACTGCGGATCAAGAAGAGAGTAAGAAATCAAAGACAGCACGGAAAGGAAACTTCTTTTATTAAGTGGTTAGGTATGGACAGAAACATTTAGTACTGAATCTAACAACAAATATCCAAACCATGGCTCGTCTTTTGAGGGAGGACAAAAGCTGCCAAATAACCCTAAAAGAGCTTTTCCCATCTATAAAACCTCTTCATCTTTTGTAAAAAAAATCAAGATATTCTAAATTCAGGTGCAAATAATTCAAATAGTGAAAGTAATGATAGTAAAATAATGGCAACACCAAAATCGAGAGTGGCCTGTCAACAAATTTATGTATTGATACTTGAACAAAAAAACAAAATTAAAGGTAACAAATTAGGCAACTAGGGAACGAGTTACTATAACGCTACCGGCCCCTTGTTTTTCTGTTTCTTCGCATTAACCATAGCTCCATACAAACCATACCAATATACTAGAAATCTAGAGACATGGTTCATTCTGAGGGTAGACTCCAACTCTCACAAGAAGACAAACAGAAGATAATGGCTTTACGCTGATGGAATGCGATATTGCGAATAAACATTTACATGAACAATGACAGTAAGAGGAATTTTTTTTATTTAAACTGGGACACGTGCACTTCGCTTTCGCTACAGGTCCCAATTAAAGTTTAAATCTAGTATTCCTAGAATTTAGTCTGGTAGTAACTAAACAATGTAGGTACTAAAATTATATTAAGAATTTTACATAACAAAGATTTTACATGATGTTAATCCATTAATTAAGATGTTAATTTAGGTATATGTACTAACTAGTAACTAACGTAATTCAAATTACTGGTTAAACCAAAATGAGTTGATATCACAAACAAAACAAATACTTATTAAATCCAACAGAAACCATAATAACATGGTTTTCGTACACACTTGGCTGTGAAAGGAGCGTCCAAGAATAAATAATCAACATTCAGGTCATAGCATACATAAATGTCAATCTTTTAATTAAATTTTGTATACTAACAGCATACAGTTATGAAAAGTAAATAATAACTTAAGAAAACCCGAGAACTACTTCAGACGTATGACATTTAACATAGTTAAGCTAAATAAAAATAAATGAATGAATTTCTACCGTGTATTTTAAATAAACAGCCACAGTCATTATATTGAAACAGCAAACCAAATCTGGCGAAAATCATTCTAGAATCACATGTATAGGTGTGCCAAAACTCGAGCCTTACTAAATTAATAAAATATAAAAACGTATTGTAACAATGTAGAGGAAAATTATCTCGGCACGTATACTGGTCTGATCTGATCGTAACAGCTGATTGAAGCGTCAGTTTCTACATTTTACATTTATATCCATAAAAGTAAAATAAATGAGAATGTCGATCTTTGACAATAAGTCTCCGTCCGTAGTGTCTAAGCTCCCGTGATTTTCTTCCCCAGACAGCACTGAATAATCCTCCGGGATGGACGGAGAACCTTTACAACTTTAATCCTTTCACTGTCGAAAACAAAACTAATGTTAAATAGACAGCGTCATTCAAAGTTTTCATCTTGAAAATAAAAAGAAAATTGCTGAAACTGCACCACACAGAAGTATAAGACAGCGACGTTCTATTCTTTAAATTGAGTGTTACGGGAGGCAACTAACGTAGATAAAGTTGCCACTCAAGACGACGACACTGAAATTAGTGTCAGATTAGCTTTTTGAAGGCAAGTTTTCGGTGCTTATGACATTCAAACATTCTTTCATTAAGATATAAATGTTTTTCAAGTGTGAAGAGCTTATTATCTACCTGATCCACTGCAAACTAACATCACTTTAACGCGGCAAAAAACCGAATCCAACCGAAATCTGACGCTAGCTTCAACAGCATTAAATGTTATGACAAAGAAAGATGTTAACAATGCTGTGATCTAGAGGGTTTAGGAGAGTAATTGTGTCGTCCGCTAAACCGTAACTAACACGCTGTGCATATTAGAAGAGTATTTTCACAAAAAGGGGAGACTGTTTTTTTTTAAGATTTTTCGTTATATAATTTCATTAATGTTTTCGTGAGACTCATATTAATTTTGTTGCCTATAATACAACGTTGTGTGAGCATCTATTATAAAATAGAAAATCATTTATTATTTTAAAGTTAACTCTCAGATTTTACTTATTTTAACTGCTTGAAAGCATAATTAACCGTTTTTTCTTCGTACACTAAATTTAACAACTTATTAAGATCCAATCTCCGGCTGATTTTGCGTCTCGGCAGATTGAATCTGTCACATAGGAATAACTTCCAGATTGATTGTCGCTTACTAGCCGAGTAGCAGTTACAAATCTGCGTGAAAGCAACAGCTTGAAATTAGGCCACTAGCTGATAATAATCAAGACATATTTTTTATCCAACAGAAATAAATTACAGGCGAAAGAACCATCATCAAATTCAGACTGTCATAAACCATGATTGTCAATTTTTCTCCTTAAGACAAAACTACGACGTATTTTAGCGTTTAAAGAATATTATTGCCCATCCTGGCGTAATCTTTACTTTTTTGTTAAACTATGCTATCAATATTTTTTTTAGTTACTGTTGATTAATTTTTTGGAAAAGTAGGCAACCAACATCCTCAGTTTCATCAGTTGTGCTTGTGATTTATTAGGAAAGGTATACTATTGAGAGATTAGATAGATTTTAGAGCTGTTGCCGAGGAAGTATGCAAATGAGGTGGCCCTTGTTACCGATACAAAGTCTACCCTAAAGGTAGAAACTATTTTAATTATTCTAAGCAGCAGAAGTATATATTTTTAAACGTTCTGTATGTTAATGAATTGTTTAAAAAAGTTAAATATAAAATTGTCCTAAGCCACCTGTTCACTCGCAGGCAACTTATCCTAAGTTTTAACAATGCCTTAATTCAAATTTCGGTTTAAAATATTACCTCTTCAACGCTTGAATTAGTCTGAAAGACAATCTAAATTTAGAAAAGAAAAAATGCGAGAGGCAATTCTCATTCTGTTTAGTTTCCAAGCAGTTCAAAAGCTTATCATGTGTGTTGTGTTCTTGATATTACATCCGTGTGTAGAAACACAGATATGAAACGCCCCGCCAATATTTTCATCAATTTTCTGGCTGCCATCCAGACGCCTGAGCCTCACTTAAGAAATATGGCGTCGTCATGTGGACATGACCTATCTCAAATAACTTTTATACCTACGGAGGGGAAATCCCGACCTATGGTCATTATAAACATGAAAGGGTCGTAAAATGCAACATAAAGTTGGCTTATATGACCCGTTACTCATATGTCGTCTAATGGACATCATAATAAATGTTCTGATACAAATACAATTTTATTTTACGTCTGCTGTTTACTATTAATTAATGTGTTTTAGTACCGAACTTTTTAGAATGTAGATAATTCTAGACAACGGGGAGTTTTAAATTAGAGTAAAAGTAGAAAAAGCCAGAAGTGGATTTGCACGACAAGTGACGTTAGTCAGTATTGTAATTTTCCCCATTTGCTTTTGTAACAAGATGATTAACGGTCAATAAATGCAGCAAGTAAATAACTGTAAACAAGATATAAACAACTAAATATTATTGTGTTGTTACAGCATTCCCTAGTAATTACCTCAGTTGAGATTCCAGTAATGATGGCAGCTGTTATTTGAAACTGCGTCAGGGTAAGAACGGGATAACAATCCTAAACTAACAAATTTAATACCCCACTAGAGTTATCATTCGCATTTTG